GGTGAAATCATTGAAAATGCCATAAAGAATGGTAAGCTCGATGTAGGAGAGACAAGTGGAGTAAGAAAATGTTGAGCTCCTAAAAAGATAGAGAATAAAGCTCAAGTAGTGAACTATGTGGAGCAACAATTCAAAGGTTTCACACCTTATCCTACACCAGTCTACCAAGCCCATTACCCTTTCATAAATAATATTACATCCACTCCTTATCCATACCAGTCATACCAGCCATTACCACAACCAGCTTATCCACCTCGTTTTTAGCCAACCTTTCAGACACCCACCTACAACCGTCCTGCTGCATCCATTAGACCAGAATGGAGATCTAGTCCTAATAGTGGTTTGAAAACCCTGAAAAATACCTAAAAAAAATCACTTTCGATCCCATTCCCATAACATACATAGATTTGTATCATCGACTTATTGAGAAACATCTGCTTGCTCCTATTATCGTTGAACCCTTGAAACCTCTATTTTTCAAATGGTATGACCCCAATGCACATTGTGATTATCACTATAGGAATCGAGGTCATTTCACTGAGAACTGTACTGCTTTGAAGCATAAAATGCAAGGGTTAATCAATGAAAGGGTATTAAACTTTGATACCAACCAACAAAAGACTCCAAATGTTAATAGAAACTCTTTACCAAATCATACCAGACCATCAATAAATACCTTAATTGATGGACAAAGAAGCCACATGAAAAAAATAAATAAATAAAGTCAAGACTTCGATGGCTAAAGTGTTCGAAGTCTTAGTCAAAATTGACATGTTGAAGCCAATAGAACCTTAAAATTACTCTGAAGTGATTAACTCAACTGAAAACTGTAATTATCACAGAAGTGTTCTAGGGCATTCTATCGAGAATTGTCACCAATTCTGTTAAGAGATGCAAAAGTTGATGGATATGGGTCGAATAGAGTTTTACCAAGAGAGAGAAGAGTTAGTAAAAGCTGAAGTGTCTACTATTGATTCAAAGAATAAGTTTATGCGTAGATCGATAACTATCTATTATGATGAGAAGCCAACATCAAGTAAAAAAGCTTGTCTCCTGACTAGTGGTGACAATTAAAGTTTCTGACCCTTTTTCATATCAAAATGATAAAGCAGTACCGTGGAAATATGATTATGATGTTGTAGTCAATCCAGATACTACAAATATAACGAGCATAGGAGGCATGACTCAAAGTGGGAGGTATTATACCCCAGAAGCTTTAGAAAAAGCTAGAAAAAAGAAAGCCAAGGTAGGAGAAGAAAAAAAAAAGTCAGAGTGGTCTTGACGTAGCCCCAGAAAAAGAATGTCAGAAGTCAGTCTCTGAGAGTGAAGCATATAAATTTTTAAAGTTAATAAAATATAATAAGTATAGCATGGTAGAACAGCTTAACAAGATGTCAGCTAGAATTTCATTATTGTCATTATTACTCAGTTCAGAGTCGCATCGTAATACTTTACTGAAGGTGTTAAATCAAGCATATGTATCTCATAATGCTTCTGTTGAATATATGGAATAGCTTGCTAGCAATCTGATAATTTTAAATTATATCTCTTTTAGTGATGAAAAAATTCTTTCTAAAGGTTGAGGAAGTACCAAGGCTTTTCACATTATTGTGAAATGTAAAGGTCATATAATGGCTAAGATTTTGATTGATAATGGCTTATCCATTAATGTTATGCCTGTGCCTACTTTGAAAAAAATTTTTATTGATGGATTTTATATGAAGCCTAGTCATATGATAGTGTGAGCTTTTGATGAAACCAGAAGAGAGGTGTTGAGAGATATAAAAATGCCATTGCAGATTAGGCCATACACTTTCAACGTAAAATTTCAAGTTATGGATATCTCTCCTTCATATAGTTATTTATTGGGTAGGTCATGGATCCATATGACAGGTATTGTTCCATCCTCATTACGTCAGAAAGTCAAATTCATTGTTAAAAGGAAGCTAACATATGTGGCAGAAAAAAAATATTTATTGGTAACTCAACCGATAAATACTCCTTATATGGAATCAGCAGATGAAGCTCTGGAATGCTCTTATAGATCCTTCGAGATTGTCAATGCAACATATATAGCTAGAAAATCTAAATTGCATTTGTCACACTTGTCTACGATAATTAAAATGGTAGTCAAACAGCTTACCAAGATGGGATGATGACCTGAAGCAAGACTTGAAAAGAACCTACAAGAAATCACGAATCCATTGACCATATATGAAAAGAGAGACAGATTTGGCTTGGGATATAAGCCAACAAGAGGGGATAGAATAAGAATGGTGAATGAGAAAAGAGATAAGAGGATAGCTAATTTTAAGGGATATGAGCCAGACTTAGAGCCTATGGTAATTTCATACCTCTATGATTCTTTTCACTCGGGAGGATATATTTATTCAGATTTATCGAGAGCCCTAAGTGTAGGATTCATGGAAGAATTTTTAAAGCTGGCCATTCAAATGGTGAATGATGGAGAAAAGAAGAGTCGAAGTGAAGAGCTGTTCATGTACCCTTGTCCTTCAGATTTTGAGCTGAATAATTAAAAAGTTATAGAGCTGCCTATTACCTTTAAAACTTTAGAAAAGTAATGTACTGTGAAACTTTAAATCCCTAATTACTTTCAACAAGTATTAAAAGATCTTTTATGGTGTGTTTATGTTTGTCGTTTTAATAAAAGACTTAGAAGATGCATCCATATTTTTTCTATTTTTTTCATCTTTATTTCACTTTCCATTCTCCTCTTTCCATCATTTTCTTGTCATTCTATTTTTATGTGCCAATATTCTCTTCATCTTACCCTTTGTAGGGTCTTAAATAATGAACATGAAGATAATCATGGCAATAATCTCATATTTGATTTTAAAAACTTAATTCATATTGATGAACTTTATAATAAAGAAGATTCAGTTAACTACTCACTACCTCTTGATTTATTAAAATTAATAAAACATGAAGATAAGTCAATTGAACCCCACCAAAAAATTACCGAGTTAGTGAATTTGAGAGATGATTAAAATAAAAAAAAAAGTTAAAGTTGGTCTATCTCTTTTACCAGCTGAAAGACAGAAGCTAGAAGAGCTGCTCCAAGAATATATAGATGTATTTACGTGGACTTACTAGGATATACTAAGACTTAGCACTGATATTGTAGAGCACAAGTTACCTTTAAAACCAGGATGTAAGTCAATGTAGCAAAAGCTAAGGCGTATGAAACTAGAAATACTGCTGAAAATTAAGAAGAAAGTGAAGAAGCAATTTGATGCTAGATTTTTTAAGGTGGTAAAATATCTTAAATGGGTAGTCAATATAGTATCAGTTTTTAGGAAGGATAGAAAAGTGAGAATGTGTGTCGATTATCAAGATCTGAATAGGGTAAGCCCTAAAGATAACTTTTTTTACCTCACATCGATACTCTAGTGGATAATACTGCTAGGCATTCTACATTTTCCTTTATGGATGGCTTCTTAGGCTATAATCAGATCAAGATGGCTTGAGATGATATAGAGAAAACTATATTTGTGACCATGTAGGGGACATTCTGTTACCAAGTCATGCCTTTTGGGTTAAAAAATGCTGGTGCCACTTATCAAAAAGCAATGGTGACTCTCTTTCATAACATGATGCATAAAGAAATAGAGGTATATGTGGATGATATGATTGTGAAATCTCGTGAAAGAAAAGATTACGTAGTCAATCTCAAAAAGCTGTTTGACAAGTTAAGAAGATTTCAGCTGAAGTTGAATCCTGTTAAATGTACATTTGGTGCCTAATCAGAAAAACTATTAGGCTTTGTGGTTAATGAAAAAAGAATCGAAGTAGACCCAGATAAGGTACAAGCCATCCAAAACTTATCTTCTTTTCGTACCTTAAAAAAAGTGTGAAGTTTTCTGGAGAGACTGAACTATATTGCTCGTTTCATCTCTCAACTCACCTACAAGTGCGATCTTATTTTCAAGCTTATTAGAAACATGATCCAGGAGAATGGAATGATGAATGCCAAGAAGTTTTTGATAAAATCAAAGAATACTTATCAAATTGCCCATATTGGTACCACCTGTTCCAAGAAAGCCTTTGAACTTATACTTAACGGTACATAAAAATTCTATAGGATGTGTGCTAGGACAAAGAGATGAAACTGATAGAAAAGAACGAGCAATATACTACTTGAGCAAAAAATTCACTGATTATGAGTCCAAGTATTCACCATTAGAGAAGATATGTTATGCATTACCCTGAACAACTCGAAGGCTTAGATAATACATGCTTTATCACACTACTTGGCTCATAACAAAGTTGGATCCTATTAAGTATATCTTCGAAAAGTCCTCATTGACAGGAAGAAAATGCGGTGGAATATGATATCATTTATGTGACTCTAAAAGCTATAAAAAAAAGTATCATAGCCAAGTTCCTTGCTGATCGTGCTGCCGAAAATTATGAACCAATGAACCCGGAGTTCCCTGATGAAGATGTGATGGCCATTGAAGAAAATGAATATGTTGAAAAGTATTTGAGGATGTATTTTGATAGAGCTGCTAATGCTTTGGGTCATGGTATTGGGGTAATTTTAATTTCTCCTAATAGGCACTATTATCCCATTACAACCAGGTTAAATTTTAATTGCACAAATAATATGGTTGAGTATGAGGCCTGTGTTATGGGTCCTGCAAACAGCAATTGAAAAGAAAATCAAAGTATTAAATGTGTTTGGAGATTCAACTCTAGTCATCTATCAATTACGAGGAGAATGGGAAATCAGAGATTTCAAGTTGATACGACACCATAAGTACATCTCTCAGTTGGTCAAACAATTCAAAGAAGTTTAATTTGAGCCTCTGCTAAGATGAACCCTTTTCAAGATGAGATTTTTAAAGTTGTTAAGCCTCTGCTAAGAAGAGCTTTTCAGATAAGATTTTTTAAAATAAACTTTAAAGATAATAAAAAATAAATTTAATAATAATACTAAACTAATAAAAAATGTAGGAAAATAAAATTTTTATCCGATGATGAGATTCAAAGGTATTTCGAGTAATGATGCCTACGAATCTCTAGGTGAGAAGATTTTTTTTAATACTACCAGTGTATTGTAGTATTTATAAAAAAAATTTCAATACAATAAAAATTTTCTTTTTATAAATAAAAATTGATTAATAAATTAAAAATAAGTAATAAAAATAAGAAGAAAAAAAATTGTATCCGATGATGGGATTCTAAAAGTATTCCAAGTAGAGATGCTTTAAGAAATTTCTAGGTGAAAAGATTTCTTGTAAAATATTACCAGTGTATTGAAATATTTATAGAAAATCTTCAATATAATTAAATTCCTTTTTCTTCAAAATTTCAATTAAAAATAAATATTAATAAAATAATTAATAAAATTTCTAACAAAGGAAAATAAAATATGTGCATCAACATGGTAGCATTTTGCATTGCATGCATGATATTTTTTACGAAAAGTAAATTTGAGCCTCGGAAGATGAGATTCTAAGGTATTTCGAGAAGCGATGCCTAAGAAATCTCTAGGTGAGAAAAAGTTCTTCTAATGTTATCAACATACTGGAACATTTTAAGAATTATTTCAATAAAAAAGTTTTAATTTATTTTTCTCGAGAATAAAAATTTTTTTCTAATAAATAAAAAATCAAGGAAATTATTTTTCGAACACCGAAAATTGGACTATTTTTATCAAAATCAAAGGATAGCACGTTGTTAATTGGTACCGTTTTTAACGGGTGCTATGAGAGTGCTAATCTTTTCCCATACATAACCGACTCCCGAACTCAGATTATTTCGCAGACTGTAAAATTATCTTTTTAATAAATTTTAATTAATTTTAAAACTTTATTAAAAGGATATTTTTTAGTAAGTGGCCAATCGCACCTAGCCAGAAAAAGATTGGTAATGACTCCATTATTTTTAATTTCATTTTCAAATTCGTCGAGCGGATACAAAATCGTTACGACACCATATAGTAAGTTTTTGTTGGTTTTATTTCTGATTGAATGTAGTCTTCTTTCTTTTAAGTATGTACAGCTTGTCAAATCTAGAGATGCCCCCTTAAGCCCAATCATTTGAATTATAGAAATTTTTATATAGGTGTTCATTTGGGCTTTAAAAAGATTGAAATGAACAGTAAGAAGAAAAAATTGTCTGATTTTTCCATAGGCCTCGATACTTCATTCGAATATAGCATTGATCTTTTCTCGATCAAGATGGTGTTTATCCCACAAAATTTTACAACTCTCTTATATCTTTTTCTCATACCTAACTTTATAAAGATTTCATTTATTTATAACTATACAAATTTGCTTATTAAAAATCTCTTTTCTCTTAAAATTTTTCTCCTGCAAGTCAAACTTGTCTATTAAAAATCTTCTTTCTCTTAGAATTCTTCTTTTTTAAGTTTTCTTATCTATCAAGTAATATCTGATCAATCCCAAATAAATCTCTAACAAATCTCAAATAAATTTTTTATAAAATTTGAGTCATTATTTCTAACACTTCCGACAACAAGACCCGTGCGAACTCAACCTTCTAGTAGAATCCCAAAAGCAAGCAGCTCAGGGTTGTCGAAGTATTCGAGGCCAAGAGCTAGTGCAGCTGATTCATCTCCATTTGACTTGCCTCTCAAGGATGATGATAGCCTCGTTAGCTGCTCACCATTTTCAGTTCCCAATTACATGACTCCAACAGTTTCAACCAAAGCCAAGGTGAGAGCCAGCAGTAATCCTAAGGAGAGGTTTCCTGGTACACCGGGAAGCGAGCCGAATAGGCGGCTTTCGTACCCTTTGACAGAAGGGACAGGGTCATTCAAGTGGAGCAACAAAGGATCATTGTTTTCGGGCAAGGATTCAAGCTCTCAAAGGGGCTTAGACAAGAACCAATCACTTCAATCTATAGGCAATTTGAGTGTGGATTCAACCGTTTCTATGCCTGCCACAGTTGGAAGAAAGCCATTTAACCGATTTGTGTGATTTATTTTTTTTACCCTTTATTTTTAACCTTCAATTACTTCTTCATTTTGGTGTTTTTCTTAATTGAGTGTATGGTGATACGCTAAGTTTCAAAATTACTGTTGTAAAATAAAACAGAAAACCATAGAAATCGATGCTTTGAATGTTACAGGATTTGGGTTTTGGTGAGATATTATACTAATTTTCTTCTTTATTTTTATTATTAACTTATAATTCGTGCAATGTATTAATTAATTTTATTTATTTTAATTTTATTTATATTTCAAATTTTATTTATGGATTTTTATCTGTAATATTATGTCAAAGTGTTTATTCAATATTTTTGTAAAAATTATTATTTTAAATTTTAATTTATTTAATAATAAATATTTATTTTCAAATAATAAAATATATTGAAAATTTTATTATTCAAATAGCTAATAAAATAATTATTAGAAATATTTTAATTGATAGTTATTTTTTATAAAAAGTAAAGGTATTGGTTCATATTTTAATTTGAACTCACAAACACATGTTTGACTTATGTATTACGAATATACACATGTTATCATTATTTAATTCCCTTCATAGTAGATGTTAGTGTTGATGTAACAAATACTCTTGCGACTCAAGTGCAAAATAGATAGAAAGCAAAGCTCAAGCAAAGAAAAGCCCCAATAACGTCAAATCTCTCTCTCTCTCTCTGTTCTTTACTTTTCTTTGTCCTCACTCATTCCCTAAACTCTTGCCATCATTTTAGGACGCACCCAAAACCAAAAATATCAAAGAACTCAGCCATCTCTTCCTCAGTTACAGGTATATCTTCTTATCTTTTGTTTCAGATAATGATCTTTTTTATGCAAAAAACTACTTGCTTCAAGAAATGATTTTGTTGTTTAAAGGTTGAAAGGAACACTGGGTTTACGTTAAAGTTAAAGATTCTTGTTTACTTTCTCGGTAAATTGTCTTCTTCTTTCCTTTTTTTGGTTTAACGATCTTGAAAAAGAGATAAATTTTGGGATGTGGTGTTAGTTTAGAAATTTTTGTTGTACATGAAGTTTTTTCTGTTGGTAAGGTCGAACTATTTACGACTATCTTTAAGGTTTTACCAAGCTCTTGATCAGGGTTGTTGATCCTTTTTTGCTAGGATTTACTTTTCTTGGTGATGCCAATAATCAATATGGCAGAGTAGATAAAATTCAGATGATATAATCAATGCGTTTTCATTTGATTTTTCATAGCCTGAATTTAATGTATGTGTCCACCTATTTACACTTTTTTATTAAATGGAATTCAACACAAATCTTTGACTAATTGCTAGGGATAGACAAGACATTGAATTCTGTATTTACTTCTAGCTTTGATATACCGTAGGGGTCGTTGATGGGGTTTTTTTGGTTGTCAGATCCCAGATAATGTCAAATTTGGTTCTCCAAAATTTAAATGTTCCATTACGTTTAGGTGGCACTGAGGGGAGCATCAATGTTTCTCATTTTGTTTCTTTCTTTTCCATAGTCTATTAGCTGAGAGCACCGAAGGTTTTCAGCTCAAGTATTGTTATATAATTACTCAAGATTTGGTTACATAGCATGAATCTTCTGAAATTTACTTGTTTTGGTGTACTGTGTCATGCTTATCTAGTTTAAGCAACGTCACTCTTAAATATGTATTATTGAAAGCTTGATGAATTTTTAATTATAATTTCTTTTACTGTCTTAACCACAGCCTCTTCATTTGATATCATGAGTGTAATCGAATCGAGTTAAATTGATATAATAAGAAGTTCAAGTTCGAGTTCGATTTTTAACTTGAAGCTTAATATTCGATTCGAACTCGATCGAGTTTCATTTTTTTAGTTCGAATTCGATTCGTGATCGAAATCAAACTACTCGAATTCACTTGATTAAGTTTGATTAATATATAAAAATAAACTCGATTCTTATACTCAACAAGAGCTCGATTATTTGTGCTCGAATTTAAGATATTTTATTAATTAAAATAATTAAAAAATTAAATATAAAAGCTCGATTAAGTTCATCAGTTACTCGAACTGAGTATAAAAATACTTAAATTTAACTCAATCAATGAATCGAATTACTCGAGCTTGAATTAAATTCGATAATAATAAAATCAAATTTTAATTTTATTTGAATCAAATTTAAATAATTTATGAATATTAATATATTATTTACATCTTTATTTGATAAACTACCTGCAAAATAACATCGATCTTCAAAAAGTAACTAGACATTCAAATTTAATTAATGATGCAAATGACACTAAATGCCATACTTGATTACTTAATGATCGCAAAAGGCAAACTTTATATGCTTTACCTATCCCTTACATCCGTCCGTCCCGCACTTATATTTTACGTAAATTTGTATATATTTAATAAATAAAATTATTATTTTAAATTAATTAAAATTATTATATATTTAAAAATATATATTAATATACATTTATAAAAATATTACATAAATATATAAGCTAAATAAAAATATAAATAATTAAAAAATACGGATGTAAAAATTATCCATATGCATTATTATCTAAGAGGATTGATATCTATTTAATATAAATACAAAAATGAATATAATATAAAAATTGAAAACGTTTTACATATGTTGTATCCTACACTTTTGACATTTTAATCATAGGGTATTAATTGATTTCAATAAATGGTACGAAATCTAAAATGAATCGATGTGTAACCATTATCTACCCAAAAATTATGTCTAACCACTTACCAAAAGTATATCAACTCTAAGTATTAAATGCTATATGATAAATATATTAACTTATTCGGATGTGTTCAAAAGTCAAATTATTCTTATAAACTTGAGGTTCACTAAAGTTTTAAAAGGACTTAGATAAGAAATTAAATTCATTAAATAGGTTTGGACATAATTTTGAAATTCATTTAAATTTTGGTCTGAGATTTAAATAATGGAATTAAAGCTCGAGCTTAACCCTAATAAATTATATATAATGAAAATATTATACTTATATAAATATATATGTGTATTTTTATTTTTTATATTTTATTTTTAAAAAATTTAAAATTTTTTTATTATATAAATTAAGTTAAGTTGATAAACTTAAAATTTATTTTTTCAATTTATATTGATCTTGAAAAAATGTTAAGACTTGAAATATTAAATCAAATTGAATTTAAATAAACAAATAAATTATTAGAATCAAATATGAGACTGGAACCAACTCAACTTGATCTATAAACATCTCTAGACCTACTCACCTAAACCTACTCCACGAATGACTATATAATCATGAGTTCTTGACCATTGGGAGCATTCTTTCCCTACACCAAATAAACATTTTTTTTCTTCCTTGCCAAGAAGAAACTTTGGCGAATGCATTAAAAATGATGTAATTATTGGCTCTTTCTATCAGTGTTTTTCTTTTAGCTGCCAAAAACCCAAATAAGCAAACAACCCAAAGAAAAAACAGGAAAAAAAATGTCTCTGAAATTCAATTCCATCACTTTTCAGTCTCAAAAATTCTCTTCTTTTGCTCTTCCATTAATGCCCAGCCTCAGCTCTTCCAAGTTTTGCATGGCCTCCAAAGCTCCTTGTTCAGGCACCAAGTAACTGTCTAATTCCTTTTTTTTATTTTTTATTTTTTAAGCTTTTTATTAATTTTTTTAACTATATTATTTGGATTAAATTTTGAACATTTTTTAATTATAGTGAAATGTTCAAAGTTTTTAAATTTTAAAATTTTTTATTATGATATTTAAATTACGAACTTATTAAAATTTAATATTTGAAAGATTGTTTATTAATCATGTACTATCATTTAAAATTAATTATGTTGAAAGTATGTATACCACATTAATTAAAAAATTTATAATTTAAATATTATATTAGAGGTTTTTAAAATTAAAAAATCGTATTAAGCTTTTAATTAAAGACATTAACCCTAGTTATGTTCTTGTAAATCATTATCCTGAGTTTTTTTCTTTTCTTTTTTCTTGAGTTTTAGGGAAGTTATGTTTATCGGCTATAGCTTCCAACATCACCGAGTTACTTTCAAAACTTGACATGGCACAGATTACAGACAAATCAATGCGTTCACAATGGATACTGAGTTCTACAACCAAATCACTAGTCAGGAACAACCAAATAAACCCCACCAGTTTTTTATTGAAAACAAACCACATTTGTCAGCTTCCTAAATCAGTTCATCCGTTTTCCCAGCTTCTAAATATATATATATTCTTCATCCTATCAAAGACAAAGAACACTTTTCCCATGCAAGTAATTGTTTTTCTAATCTGCAAAGATCACTGACCTGAATTATCCATGGCACTTGCAACAATAATAATTCTTTATCTGTTTGTGATTTCTTTCAGTTTGGTGGTGTTGGGAATGGTTTTCTCAATTTTTTTTTTAGAATTTAATCTTAAATTTTTTACTTGAATCCAGAGATGAGGTTGAGAATCACAAAAAGCGTTTCATGCCTCGTCAGAAGGTGCATGTTGAGGTCAAACATACAATGCCACCGCAGAAGATTGAGATATTCAAATCCTTGGAGGAATGGGCTGAGAACAACCTTCTAATTCATCTCAAACCAGTTGAGAAATGTTGGCAACCCCAAGATTTTCTTCCAGATCCCACATCCTCTGATGAATTTGATGAGCAATTCAAAGAACTAAGGGAAAGGACAAAGGAGATTCCTGATGATTACTTTGTTGTTTTGGTTGGTGATATGATCACAGAGGAAGCCCTTCCAACTTACCAATCATGTCTTAATTCTTTAGATGGAGTTCGTGATGAAACATGTGCTAGCCTTACTTCTTGGGCAATTTGGACAAGGGCATGGACGGCTGAAGAAAACAGGCATGGTGATCTACTTAACAAGTATCTCTACTTGTCTGGTAGAGTCGACATGAGACAAATTGAGAAGACAATCCAGTATTTGATTGGATCAGGAATGGTAATAAGATGTTTACTACAATTTTCCTCACCTCTCATAGTTTAATTTTGAAACCTCAAATGGGTACTTTGCATGCTCAACTTTGTTAAATCCTTTGCAGTTCTTCGAA